TTAGTTTTAGTAAAAGTTTTACGGCACTTGCAACACAATGAGGTCATATAAGTGCCAAAGATTAGATGTACTATAAGAGAGTAACAAACACAAAAAAGAAGGAGTGGAGATAAAGACGATAGATGTTTGACAGGAAAGAAAGAGCAAACCACACCAGAGCACCCGCCAACCGCCCAAGGAGCAACGAAGTTTGAGAAAAAAACTTGAATATCAACTCCTTATCTCTGGCAAACCGCTCTCAGTAGCTTGTGGTCACAACTGTTGTGTCGGTGATCCGTTGTAAGCTCTGCCCGAATTCTTTTACTTCACAACAAAAAAAGAAGACATTATATATCAATTTTCAGCAATTGTTGGAAATGGCTCTCCCCTATCGGGAGTCATTTCGTTAAATAAAGAACTATCAAAATAGGTTCAGTTTTATTTCATGACTAATTAAGTGTCTGTCACCCTACAGGGTTTATACCAAAAGAAGGCTCCCCAGCACAGTGGGAAGACACCCTCCACAGATAGAGAAGTAACTAGAATATAACACTGCTACAGCTATAAGACAGTTGTTGAATTTTTGTCTCTACAGACAGTTCACCTTTCTTTCAGTTTCAGCCAACTACTCAACTTCGACAAACGACACGGACAAAATATCTAAAGCTGACAGAAACATCTTCACACCTCTCAGTTCCCTCAAACATTTACTTCTGCTTTCATGACCAAACAGAAAAGTAAAAAAAAAACAACAACAACAACCAAAAAACCCAAAACAAAACAAAAAGTGCAATAAAGTACTTGTATTTCCCACCCAGCCCAGTCCTGCTCACACAGTAATAAAGTACAGCAAAACTGACTCTATCTAAACAACGACATCGCTAGCTCTGAGCAGAACAGACATCAAACAGCAGATCAAATCACAACTCTGATAAGAAGAAAATCAAACACAATGTCCTTAACAAAACAAATAAAGCAGCAACAAAATAAATTACAAAACAATACAACAGTACCAAAACCCCCCCCAAACAAACAAACAAGAATAAAGACATAAAATTTGTGTAATTCAAGTGCACAAAACAAAATGCATTAAATTTATCACAAATTGGTATACAAAGATCAAAATCTATACCAATCACAAACTAGTACAAGTTCAAAACCTAACAACCAGTCCTTGAAATGCATTAGATGGAATCTGAGGTCCCGCTGTGTTGAATCTGTCACAAAAATGTGACATGGTATAGGTTTTACTCCCGCTATCAACACTGGTATGTTATTTACGAGGCGGAACCTGCGAGTTAAATTAAAACGTCCTTCTCCGAAAGAACCCGTGTCTAAGAGAACATTGGTGTTTAGTCCTTTTCCCCGAGGACACAATGTCGGACTGACCTTACGCTTGGCAAACCCCTTCCACTACAGAGAGCACCCGGCTTAGAGTTACAAGACGTCTATTTTTGTTCTTCTTTCCAGATGTCTTCACAATTCTGCCGCAAGCTGACAAATGCCTTTTTCCCCCCTTCACACAGTTTCGAGAAAAAGAGTTGTTGTTTTTTTGGTCCGTGTAACAATTGAAAAATAAAAGTCATTCCAAAATTTGAATTCAAATTTATTAAAAAAACTAGTCACAGTTTCACTTTGATTTTTTTCCCCACAAGTAGGGTAACTGATCAGACTTTTGATTGAGCAAATAAAGACTTTTGGCGCCAAAAAGATAAAAAAAAGGCGTTTTATCAGATTGCGGCAGAATTGCGGGTGGGAGTCTACTTTATTTCAGGAAACTGATGCTGCTCTTTTTTCCCTATTCTTTTAAGGACAGTTCAACTTTCACAGTCATCACCGATATATATATATATAAAAGATATAAAACTAATATAAGGAGTGCAACAAAGTCTTGCTTTACATACAAGTATATATGGACTTTGATATTTTCTGCATAGAAACACACGCACACACACGCATGCACACATACACAAACACACACACACACAGAGGCTAACAAATACTACTTGATTTAGACATACAACAAACACACACACACCCATACACCCACACAAATACTACTAGATTTAGACATACTACAAACACTATCCTATTCACTTTCACTTTGAAACAACTTCTTTTGAGATAGCTGTTTGCTGGACACTACTGTAGCAGTTCATAAAGTATATCATAATTTGCACTGAATTCTCTCCCTCTCTCTCACGTGGCCACGTATTGCGGTAAATGTGTACACGTAAACAAACCCACGCTACAACGAACAACAGACATGTGTGTAGCAGCATGGGGAAATCAGACGCTCGTAAAAAAAATAATGAAATCCAAGAAACTGGCATTTTTCTGCCAGTTTACCAATTTTCATCGAATTTTTATTTTTTGGCTCAAAACTTTTGATGTTGATAAAAAAACACATTTCCATTTGAATTTTACAGAAGAATGTTGATTAAAGGAACAAAATATGTACAACTTCAGTTTTCAAGGACTCTCAAGCTATTGGAAATACCAAACTTTGGCGGCTATTTTCTCCCTCATTTTACCTCTGAAACCAGGTGACCCCTACCTTCTCCAATCGCAAACATCCCGACTTCTATTCAAGATAGATAGATTTTTTTTTCCACCAAAAGCAAGGCAAAAAATTAATCTTATAGATGATGCCAATAACTCCACATGCCCAGAAACTGACGAGCGCCCGATTCCAGCACGTCGTGACACATACGATCTCCAAACAGCCATGAAAAAACAACAACAAAAAAAACCCATTAAAAAAAACCCAAACGACAACCAAACAATAGGCAGAACGTGTCCAAACACAAGATACAACATTGCAGTGAACTCACAGACTGGGGCCCCACCCACCCCTCTCCCACAACTCACACACGCTTCCCGGGTCCCTCCTTCTGAAATCCACAAAGTTCACAACATTGTGACATGACAGAGTACACAGAATTGTGACATGACACAGTACACAACATTGTGACATGACAGAGTACACAAAATTGTGACAAGACAAAGGGCAGCAGCGTCATAAAAAAATTGACGTGTTCTTGTGACCCTTCGCTTCTGAACCTGCTCACGACGTGAAATAAAAAACAACAAGCGAACAGTATAAAACCCCCCCCCCCCAAAATCTTTTTATGGAACGGGAAAAAAAACAAACAAACAAAACCCCAATACGAATAGGAACAAGAACCCCCAGAACATGTGGTTTGAGTAAACGGAATCTCCAGCGACCACAACAGACATGTTGTAAATCAATGTATGGCTTGGTGTCACCAATAACGAACATTTTGGCAATAATATAATTATGGTATGCATCGCATTCTGAGCTCGGAAACAAAAAGAAACGCAATAAACAAAAACAAAACCACACAAAAATGGATAATAACAACAATAGTAATAACAGCAGAACTGTCCAAAGTATAATACTCTCTCCCCACGCTGTATTTCACGACATGTTCTGTGAGCTTTTCATTCAGAAACATCAGGTCAACCTGCTTGAACTCATCATTAAAAGTAGTCCCCAGACTTCTTTATTTCATTTGTAAGTAAGTATTTTATGACACTTGCAAAACAATTAGTAGGTCATAGTGCCGAAGATTAGATGTTTTACACAAGAGAGTAACAAACACAAAAAAGGAGGAGAGATAAGGACGATAAATGTTTGATAGGAGTGAAAGGAGCAAACTACATTGGAGCACCTGCCAACCACCCAGAGACTGCTGCAGAATATGAGTGAGCAACGCGTATTCATTCACATGATAATTTGCTACAGTTTGTGACCAGTTGAGGTACCAAATTAAATCTGTTTGAACTCTTGCAACTCACTTCAAATGGAAAGGGAAGCTACCTCGGGAACAAAAATCCTGTGCAACAAAACTAGAAAATCCAACAAAGAATTCGAATGGGTGGAAAAATACCCTACCTTTCTTGTGCTGGCTACGTTTACGACAGGGACTAAGAGAACAAAAGAAACAGAAATAAAGGAGTCGGTCAACAGTCATCATTGTGCAAGAAAAGTCACACGCTAAACAAAACACACGAAGCGACCGCTGGTACATACAAATATACAAAAATTTTACCAAACCGAACGAATTCTGTGTACTTCATTCATTCTGTTTCCATCTGTTCAACACAGCAAAAAAAGCAGCTCTTTATGGCAATCTGAACTTTCCACTAACTCTTTACACACAAGAACTTTTTCATTTTTGTATACACACATAATTCAGAACAGGCATACTTTGCATATATTCCACAACTGTAAATTCCAATCAGATCAAACTTTCGCTAGTCAAAAAAACCTTAGCAAACAAAAAACAAAAACCCAGAGAGAAACAGTAGTACAGAAAACCCCAGTCTTGCTCTATTCGCTCTCCTCGAATCAACACATCGAAATAAATCCACAGATACATGTATATCTATACACCTGTTCTTTCCTTTCAGTACAAAAAGCATCTTTCCCTACAACAACAATATAGCACTGATCTGTGGTGACGTATTTGTCTCGTTCTGTAGTCAACAACACACTCTCTCATTCCACAAAGCAGGACAAAACAACAAAACAGCAAACAAATTATGTAAAGAAAAAAAAAAAGCGATGACAAGAAAGATTCAAACCCCTTTTCAAGATATGAACATGACTGAAATATACAACTCTTTCATCGAATGCTGCACGTAAAACACAGCCCTAAGTTTGCCGGCTTAAACTATTTCACACAACACCAACATGACAGGTCGCTAAAGTTTGACAAGAAACAAAACACACGCTGCGACACGCCCACACATGACACCACCAGAGCGATGGCAGCCTCAAGCACAACTGCTTCCGTCAGTGTGGTGTGGTTTGATTTTTCATGTCACAAAAAAAAAAAAAATCTTTAACTGTGTGCGTTTTTACGCCTCCATTGATATAGATTAGATCATTTAGGAGGCAGGCTTCTTAACCCTGCATGTCAGGGTCAACCTGGGCTGAGAATGTGATGCCCCATCAGAAAGGCCAAGCGAGATACTCGATATAAATTCCCCTCCCACTGAGGAATCTCGGATCTCCTGTATATGATAGCGAAGCGCCTAACCACTACACAACAGACGCCAGAAATTTTCCAGTTGTCAGCGCCCCTGTGAAGATACTGGACAATGTAGGCCCCCCCATGCGAGCAACTCTCATGATCAAAACTTAAAAAAAAAAAAAAAGAAAAAAAAAAAGAGATCTTCTGGCCTGTTAACTGTTAGTGTGTGGCATTACGGTGAAACCACACAAATGTTACACGACGTTCCTCCAAGACTAAACAAACTGTCATGTTCACGTCATGTGTTCATTTGTCGTACGGTGATGTCAGGTTCACATCCGTGTTCATTTGCCGTACGCTGATGGGGGAGCCTGACAGTCCCTACTCACCCAGCGCAAATATCCGAGCGCCTTTACTCCCCGGGATAACAGCGTAAAAATAATTATTTGTTACACAACAGAAAAACGTTTTACCCAAGATTTGTTCTTCGCAATATCCAAAAAATCGGCTTTTAGAAAAAAACAACAAACTACCCTGAGATCTTGTGGACTCATCCCGTTGTAGAAAGAAGAGGCTACGGAGAAAAAAGAACCTAATATCGCTAGCTTCGTATCAGACTGGCCACGTTTACAGAAACTAGAAAGACCAATAAGACGTTCATTTGATCAAAGTTTTTGGAATGCAAGTTAATTCATCAAAAACTCTCTGAAAACAAGCTAAGCACACAGGTTTTGAAAAAAAAACCCCAAAAAAAGAACAGATTAGTCATGCCCTTAAAGCACAAATGCTTCTGGTCACAATGGGGTAACTTGGACTTTGAGAGAGAGAGAGAGGGAGAGAGGGAGGAGCAAGGCCGAGAGCTTCATATCCAGTTCGGCGTGACCATTTCGTCCAGCACCTATCAAACCTCCTTCACCTCGGTCAGAACAGAGACAGAGACGGCTACGCTGGTGGCAGATAATGAACCTCTCATGATCCCCGCTCCCCCCTCCCTCCCTGTTCAAAGGCCAGATAATTTGTCTTAGGAGGTATGTAGTAGTAGTTGGGGTGGTACTCAGGGATGAAAACGCACACGCAGTTTGTTAGTCAATAGGTGTATATATACAAACAAGCGACCGACTAGATGGTAGGAGGGGGTGGGTGAGTGTGGGGCAGGGGGAGGGGGATAGGGGAGTGGATGTGGGGGAGGGGGGGGCAGGGGCTCCCTCTCCTGGCGTCTCAATCGGCCAGCTCTACGGGTCGACACTGTCCCCGTCTTCAATCTGGTTACTGCTGGCCTCGGCGGCCGAGGGAACACACGTCGTTGCGCTGGCGGCTTCCTGAGTACCTGGGTCCACGCTGGACGACCGGGGTTCGGCGTCGACGTTCTTGGGGGCGTCGTCGTCATCCTCATCATCGTCCTCCTCCTCGGCCATCAGCTTCTTGGCCAGCTGCACCGCCTGGAACTCGTTGTAGTGCATTTTTCTTTTCAGGACGAAAGCTTTTCTCCTCTCTGGGGGGGGGGGGGGGGGGGGAACAAAAACAATTATTTGATATGAGGACAGTATGCGATGCTAGAGCTTTTCTTCTTTCAGAGGGTGTGGGGAAAAATATTTATATATTTGAAATGAGGAAAGTAAGTGATGTTAAGAGTTTTCCTCTTTCATGAGGGTGTCAGGGGAGGTGGGGGGTGAATACATATATTTGAAATGAGGACAGTGTGTGAAGCTAGAGTCTTTCTCCTTTCTGAGGGGGTTGGGGAAAAAAAAGGAGAAAAAAAATAATTGAAATTATGAGGACAGTACGAGATGTTGGAGCTTTTCTCCTCTCTGAGGGGGTTGGGAAAAACCCCAAAGCAACACAAAACACAAAGTATAGCGTAAAAACTACAAATGAGGGCAGTACGCGATGCTACAACAATGAAAGGAACGTAAGTTTATCGAATGCAGTGGGTTTCAGCCAATACAAAAAAAAAAGTGTGTGGGTTTTACATCCCTTTCAACATTCTTGGGTCGTGTGAGAGGCAGGACCTCGTGTGAGAGGCAGGACCTTGTGTGAGAGGCAGGACCTCGTGTGAGAGGCAGGACCTCGTGTGAGAGGCAAGACCTCGTGTGAGAGGCGGGACCTCGTGTGAGAGGCGGGACCTCGTGTGAGAGGCAAGACCTCGTGTGAGAGGCAGGACCTCCAAACTTACTGTCCGTCTCTGATAGGACCAAGCCAAGTAGGTTGAGAACTGTGAACATTTCACAAAACGTTATAAGTGAAAAATTGCCCAGTCTGACAATTGAAATTGGGCCATCCGTTTCTAATTCCAGCATGATCTCAACTGAGCTAATGGTGCACCCCAATACAAAACAGTACATGGAGAACACTGGTCTTATTGATGGAAGAAAACACAAAAACTGGAAATCGTTTTTCGTAAGAGTTCTACAGAACTTGCAACACAATTAGGTCATTAAGTACTGAAGACTAGAGTAGAGACGTTACAAGAGAGTAACAAACACAAAAAAGGAAGAGGAGAGAGAAGGACGATAGTTTTTTATAGGAAAGAAGAAGCAAACTACACCAGAGCACCCGCCAACCACCCACATTATAGATATGATACCGACTAAATGTCTAATAGTGAAAGAATAACAAACAGATTCAACAAAAAGACACAATAATACCGATTCACAACACTCCCCCATCTAAAGACAACACAAGTCAGTAGGTGGTTGGTGGGTGCTCTGGTGTGGTTTGCTTCTTCTTTCCTATCAAACACCTCTAATCTTCGGTACTTATAAGATCTTATTGTGTTGCAAGTGCCGTAAAACTCTTATTAAAACCAAAAAAACAACCAAACACAAGTCGTACTTTTCTCCTCCTCTGTCTCATTTTCCCGTTCCTCCTCCGAGTCGTCATCATCGTCGTAGAAATGTCTGTCCGCACTGCTCTCCCCTGTCTCCTCAAGCCTGTAATGCACAAATTATGACACACATTTTCAAATCATTTAATTATGACACATATTTTCAAATCATTTAATTATGACACATATTTTCAAATCATTTAATTATGACACCCATTTTCAAATCTTTTCTGTATAAAAAAACCTAAGAAACTGATACAGTGTCTCGACGCGGGGGAATCAGGCACTCGTCAATTTTTGGGCATATATATAAATACATACATATAAATATATATATATATATATATATATATATATATATATATATATATATATATATATATATATATATATATATATATATATATATATATATATATATAGTTATAAATATCATCTTAAAGCTTGTTCATTTATCTTGCATTCTGTGAAAAAAAACGCACGTCTATCTTGAACAGAAGTCAAGATGTGAGAGGTGAAATTAGCGAGAAAATGGCTGCCAAAGTTTGTCGACTTCCAAAGTTTAAGTGTCCTTGGAAATAGGAAATTTACATTTTTTGTGCCTTTAATCAACGTTTTACGGTAAAATCCACCCAGAAATTTGTTTTTAAAAGGACATGAAAGGTGATGGGCAAAAAAGGAAAAAAAAAGAAAGATAAAAGAAAAAGAAAATTTGAAAAAAAAAAGGTCCAACGCCCAGAAAAACGGGCATTTCTTTGATTTCCTGATGCTGAAACACTCCCAATCTCTTGAAAAATGAAGATGATATGGATTGGAAAAGAAAGCACACACTCTAGTAAGAGCAAGAGAAAGACAAAAGCTTGAAAAACCTGCGTGTGTTACGACGCAGTAGAATCAGGTGCTCATCAATTTTTGGACATCTGGAGTTATCGGTAAAATGATCATGAAAAAAAAGTACACTCTAAGTAAGAGCAAGAGTAAAACATTCATCATCATCAGGTGCCTTGCCGACTGGAGTGTGCGATCATGGACCTCCACTTCACTCTGTCCTGCGTTGCAGCGATGGTGTCTGTCGTTCTTCCTGTTCCCAGCCATGTTGTCAACTTGTCCAGTATCTTTTCCCTCTGTCTACCTCTGCCTCTCTTTCCATCAAACTTGCCTGTTGTTACAATATTCTTCAATGCTTCTTTCCGCATTGTGTATCCGATTAAATTTGCCTGTCGCTTTCGTATATTCGTCGTAAGATAATACAAAGGCTTAAAAACAGGGATGCCAAATGATTTTTTTTTTTTTTAACCTGAAAATGAGCAGAGCATCACATCTCACCTAAAACAAACCTTGTAAAGTTTTCAAATGAGCACACAAAAACATCTCTCTTGCCTATACCCTTTCCTTTACAAGGGTATGGGGGGCTTTGTTTCACCAATTCCAGTAATATTCTATCTGTCTTGAGAAGAAGAAACCTTATGACAGTGGCCTTCTTCTTCAGAGATGCCAAATGATTTTTGAAAAAAAACCCCTGAAAAACCTGAGATTTGGCATCCCTGTTAAAAAACCCGGAATTCCTGGGATCCGAGGAAGATAAGCCTCATCACTCAGTGTCTTACCTCTCGGCGAGCTTGGCGGGGTCCAGAGCATCCACGGAGCTCGTGCTGCCCTTCCTCTCCATGGTGGCGTGATCATCCTCCGAGTCGGAGATAGCCGCCCGGTTGTACGGCGTGGGCGGCTCGTCCACCTTCATGAACCCGTAATCCTTATCCGCGGGGTGGTAGGTGGCCATGATGTTCATCTCGTCCCATTCTAGCTCCTTTTTACTGAAAAGAAAAGAGACAGAGACAAACAGTCGAAATTATAATCTAAGATGGCTAATCATTGTTGAGGAGAGAAGCGGTTGTCTTAGTTTAGTTTTAGAAAGAGTTTTACCGCACTTGCAACACAATAAGGTCATACAAACACAAAAAAGAAGGAGGGGAGATAAAGATGATAGATATTTGATAGGAAAGAAGAAGCAAACCACACCATAGCACCCGCCAACCACCACGTGGTTGTCTAAGTAGACATGTGGATGTTTAGGACAGTGTCGTTATTAACACCATCCACCCACACAGCACGCAGAATCCCCACCGACCAGGATACAGATGCGGTACATGCTATATCACACCGTCGCCGATTGGTGTCCCGTGGGGGCAAAGTGTTAATGAAAAAAATTGCAAGGGGGGAAGTGGGAAGTAGTCATTTTTACAAACATGATTGTCTTGGACAGATGGGATCTAATGAGGCCTGTGTACTCAAAAGGTTTTTGTCCATAAAGGCCTTCTAACCTAAGTACGGCTAGAATGGCAGGCTAGCCTAGACTGCTGGGCTAGCCGCACTTAAATGATGGCTGAATTGTAAATAAAATTTTAGTTTGCAATACCTGAAGTATTTTCGTTGCGATTTCTGTACTTCAGATGAAACCAAAAGTTGCCTTACTGACATGCATGTATTTTAAACCTGAATAATTATCTAGATCTAATGAGACCTGTGTACTCGGCACTCCTGTACAATTGTGGTCCCGTCTGCACTAAATATCACACTATATGCCTCGCACAGAGTACTGGATATATAATATCAAGGTAAACTGATTAAAAAATAGTCAGTATTGAATCAATGTTTTATGTTTTATCAGTAGATCTAGCCTACAAAATGAGCAGTAAAACTTCACCTGTTTTTAACAAGGTGAGGACGGGGTAAGATTGTACTTTACCGGACCACAGGTAACCAACGGTTGGAACTACTTTCACTATGGCGCCCTCGGTGCCTAGTGGTCCGCTATTCTTCCTTTCCGAGCTCCCCTACTCATTTTCCTACGTCGTCCTCACCCTTCGACTGCCAACTACCGACTGACGTTTCTTACCAAGTTTTTCAGTCATCACACTGGGCCACCGAGCGAGCCCTTTGACCCACGACCCTGACACCTGGAGGCTAATTGGTCATTCTAATCACGTTGTTCACTATTCTTACTTGCTCGCGACTCTGCTAGGCCTACTCCTGGTTGGGCCAAGCACAATGGAGGGCGAGAGATGCGAGAGCTCATTTGCATGATTGCAATCCCCTCGGTCCTGCTCGCGACTTGGCGAGTGCTGCGAAGCAAGACGCGGCCTGTTCCAACTCTACTCCGATTGTCCACTTAGCTCCATGGTCCGCTCATGTCATTGTTTGCATTTTTATGTGTGTGTGTGTGTTTTTAAATTATTGTTGCAAGGTGGAAGCCCCCTTGAAACCCCCCACTGATGTTATATTGATTAGCAATGACAATGAAAAATTAAATTTTCATCCAAATTGCTTAAAAATGGGCTTAAATGAAAATAGAGTAAATTCTAAGAACTATGGTTTTTAAATTTTTAAAATCCATTGATAAATAAAAAAGTTATTGGGATTTTTGTTTGCAAAATGTTGGACGACCTTCATATAGGAAAATATCGCCAAAATGTGGGACAGGTCTTGATGTATTTTGAGGAAAAACTGTTCATAAGTCAGTAATGAATTGGAGCATATGATGAATGAAACTTGGCATCTTCATGTGATTTTTAGTGCAGAATCACTTTTTCGATGTTTTTATTACTTTGGATCTTTAAGACTGATATTTGAGTGAAATTTGTTGAATTGCGTGACATCGTTTTTACCGCGACGCCATTACCCCTTCTAAAACTCAGTAAAGCACCATGGGAAAACCTGCGATGAAGTCATCGGCGACCTATTTAGTTATAGGCAGCCAATCACATGCCGCCTAGCAATCACGCGCCTCTTGCATGCCGGCACTTTGTGTTTGGAATGCGTGATCTAGTTTCCAGCTCTAGTGTTTTATCAATGGATGGGTGGTAATTTTAAGTTGGTAGTAAAATGTACTGGACGCAGAGATCTGAAATTTTACAGCAATGAAGAAGACATGTGGGGCGCCTGTGTGGTCGGCGATCAACCTGCAGCTCCGCTCAGTTTTCGAACCGCAGAGGAAATTCGCACAAACACGGCAATATCTCCGGTTCTAGAAAACGTTCGGGATTGTACGCTGGCATGTCGTTAGTTTAAACCTTTCCTCTGATTGGTTGCCGAGTTTCATTTATTTTCGTTTGTCCGCTCATGTTATTGTTTTGCTTTTGTATGTGTGTTTTCTTTATTATCGTTCTCAGGGGGGCAAACCTCCCTGACACTGTTATGGTTGGTCCCCCCACTGTTGGTATGATATACGGTGGGTCCACCAAAGTTAAATCGCCAACCCACCCTCAACCACCACCTCTCGCTCACCTCACCTCGCCGCTGGCTTGTGCTCTGCGCGAAGTTGCCAGCGGAACTACCTTTTGTCAGCATGTAGAGAACTTTGAGTGCGCAGGCGTAGTTAAGTTAGGATAGGCATGCGTTGTAGAGTTAGAAATCACGGGCCAGATGGGTGGTCCGGTATAGTACAATCTATACAGGCCCTGAATTTGACCACGATTTGATGTTTTATGCAATTGTTTGAGAAGTTATTTCTCTCCATAGAGTCCATATCGGAACGCGCATAACAAAAGTAATAGTTTAGAACCAGAAGTAGCCTAATCGTCGGTGAGGTCACCCCCAAACCGGACCGCAGTTGTACAGGTGTGCCGTGTACTCAACAGGTTCGGTAAATTGGGCCTTTACCTAAGTACGGCTAGACAAAGACAGCTAGGCTAGTACTAGATTCGGCGATTGTCAAGATTTCCGCGTTTGATTACGATGTGTGCGCTTTTTAAAGCCTAAGGTATGTTTCGCTTTGGTCCCTAACCCTAACCCTGACCCTAACTCTTCAACCCTAACCCTGACCCTAACCCTAACTCCAAATGCACCAAAGCGAAACATACCTTAGGCTTTGAAAAGCGCAGATCAGAATTAAACGCGGAAATCTTGACAATCGCCCTAGATTCTAGTACTAGTTACTAGGGCTTGGCGTGGCGTAGTTTAGTTAGCCACTTCGCTAAAGTCTAAAGTGCTAAAGGAAAGAAAATAGAAGTTCAAATACATCAACATCCAATTCACGGCTGGATTGTACTTTACCGGACCACCCGTCTCGGCCCGTGATTACTACGCATGCCTAGCCTAACTACGCACTCATAGTACTTTAAGTGCGGACAAAAGGTAGTTCCGCGGGCGACTTCACGCACGCACAGCGCAAGCCAGCAGCGACTGGCGAGGCGAGGTGAGTGAGAGGTGGTGGTTGAGAGTGGGCAGGGGATTTAACTTTGGTGGACCACCGTGTATTATAATTATACTAACAGTGGGGAGGGGGCGGGGGTTCAGGGGGGCTTGCCCCCCTGGAAATATTAAAGAAAACACACAAATGCGAAACAATTACTAATTACATGAGCGGACAGTCGTGTTTACATATGTAACAACAGTGAGGGG